ATTCTCTTCCATTAGCAAACACTGTATAAATTCAATTTCTAAAGGCATTACCTTTTTTGTGCTCCAAAAGAAAAAAAAATGTTTTAGCAAATATTATATCTAAAATTAGGAAATTCTAACAAGGGAGGAAATACAAAAATAAAACACTTTCATTATGTATGTATTTTTTTCTTTGGGGCACACAAAAAATTATAAATATATCCCTGTGTAAAAATCCCCCAAGGTCATTTTTGTACTTTAAAAATACAGAACAAATTGCCCAGCCAGCGTGGCTCAGTGGTTGAGCACCAACCTATGAACTAGGAGGTCACAGTTTGATTCCTAGTCAAGGCATATGCCCGGGTCCCATGCTCGATCATTCATGTTTCTACCTCTCCCTCTCTCCCTTCCTCAAATACAGACCAAATCCCCATAAATGTAATTACAACTGAGTATTTATTCTGAATGGGAACTGACTAGACTTGCTTAAGAAATGATTCACAAGATTTTTGTTATAACTCTTGAGTTGCCCTGTGCCTAGCATAGAGGATGCTGCCAACCATTCCTTAATGTGAGACAGCACAGAATTTAGAGGCCTAAAGGCTCTGGCTAAGTGCCTGCTTCAGAGATGTCAGCAATCTCCTTGCTGTCATTTAAGGAAAATAAAAAAACTTAAGACTTTCTTAATGTGGCCCTGGCTGGTGGGGCTTAACGGTAAAGCATTGGCCTCAAAGAATCATGGGTTCAAATTCCCGGTCAAGGGCACATACCTGGGTTGCAGGTTCCCTCCCTGTTCCCAGTCAGGGTATGTGGGAGGCAATCAATTAATGTATCTCTCTTACATGAATGTTTCTCTCTCTCTCTCTCTCTCTCTCTCTCTCTCTCTCTCTCTCTCTCTCCCTTTTTCTTCCCCTTCTTCTCTTCCACTCTCTCTAAAAATCAATAGGAAATATAAGCTCAGATGAGAATCAACAACAAAAAGACTCTCTTAGTGTGTAAAAATTTCCCCACTCATGAACTCATACTTGTCATTCTGATAACTTCTGACTCACATATATATCTAATTAATTGATTATAATTACAGTTCTCCGGCTACCAGAAACATGAAAAAATTGTTCTATACAATAAAAATTACAGAGTATTTATTCTGAATGGGAACTGACTAGACTGGCTAGTCAGCAACTTTCTATCCCAACAACAACTTCATCAAAAACAGGAATCTCACTAAGTAATTTGAAAGCAGCATCATAAATGCAGCCTTTTCTGAAAGCATTTTAGCCTTACTTAAATATCAGATAAAATATGAGTTACATAATATTGAGTAGGATAAAAATAAGGCAATTGTTGTTTATCCTGTTTTTTTTTTTCATTAATAGTCTAGCTTATATCAAGATATTTCAGTCATATGAAACAACATAATCCTATACAATAGAGGTAATATGCAAATTAACCCTCACAAGATGGCTGCCTACGACCAGGCCGGCAGGGGGGCATTAGTGAGGGACAACCAAACAACTGAACAAGCAGGCTGCGTGGAGTGACCAGGCCGGCAGGGGGGTTAGTGAGGGATGACCAAACGACTGAACAGCAGGCTGCGTGGGGTGACCAGGCTGGCAGGGGGGCCATGAGGGGTGACCAGGCAGGCCGGCAGGGGGGGACATTTGGGGGCAACCAGACCAGCAGGGGGAGCAGTAAGAGGCAACCAGGCTGGTGGGGATGGGGGGGCAGTGAGGGGTGATCAGGCCGGCGGGGGAGGGGGGGCAGTTAAGGGCGACCAGGGAGGCAGGCAAGTGATTAGGAGCCAGGGGTCCAGGATTGTGAGAGGGATGTTCGACTGCCGGTTTGGGCCCAATCCCTGGGATCGGGCCTAAACCGGCAGTCGGACATCCCTCAAGGGGTCCTGGATTGGAGACGGTGCAGGCTGGGCTGAGGGGTTCACACCTTCCCCCCCCATGCATGAATTTCATGCACGGGGCCTCTAGTGTCCCTATCATGCTTTATGAAAGAAATGAGCATTTAATAAGACTTTTAAAATGTTTGACCTCTACTGTGAAACTTATTTTTACTGTAATGACTTTATTTATGGGTTAAGAATCTACTTAATAGCATTTCTATTCTGAGTCACAGAATAGACAGGTGTTATTATTACACAGGCATTGCCTACATTTTAGGAATGGGTAATCTCTGCCAGCGATGTTTACTTTGCAACCAATAAAAACACACATGCCAAAAATTAAACTCACACTGTCACGACTGAAATGCTATGTCTCTAGCCAAAGACTGACACAGTAAATCAAATAGGATCTTAGTTCTTCTGTATGTAGATATTAAAGTAAGTTAAGTACTAGAACAGTAGTTCTCAACCTTCTGGCCCTTTAAATACAGTTCCTCATGTTGTGACCCAACCATAAAATTATTTTCGTTGCTACTTCATAACTGTAATGTTGCTACTGTTATGAATCGTAATGTAAATATCTGATATGCAGGATGGTCTTAGGCAACCCCTGTGAAAGGGTCGTTCGACCGCCAAAGGGGTTGTGACCCACAGGTTGAGAACCGCTGTACTAGAAGAACCATTTTTTAAAAAATATAGTACTGACTTAATTTTTGTCATTGAAAAATATCAAAAGCAATGAATTCTCATCAAGTTATCACATAGTCATGTAGCATTTGTGAATGCCCAACTTGGATTAGAATACTAACAGGTAAAAGCAGAATTCCTGTTTATAGAAGTTTAAAATTAACAGGGTCAGTCACTCATACACACAGAAACAATCCTATCTAATGAAGGGGGAATATGCTAATTGACCCTCATGCCATTGCAAAGATGGTGGCACCCACAGCCAATAAGGAGGGAATATGCTAACTGACTGACCCACCCTCAAAGAAGGCGGCGCCCACAGCCAATAAGGAGGAAATATGCTAATTGACTGATTCCCCTCAAAGAAGGCGGAGCCCACAACTACAAGATGGCGGCACCCAGTCCCCTCAGCCCTGCTGGGGCAGCAGGCACGTGGCTTGCCGAGCACCTGCCTCCAGAGTCCCCCAGTCCCCTCAACCCCCCAGCCACCCAGGGCTGGCCCAAGGCACAGGAAAGCCTTGGATGGCAGCTGCCTAGCCGCCCAGGGCTGCCCGAGGCGCAGGTAACCAGGGCCGTCCAAGGCTTGTGCTGCCGGCAGTGGCAGCAGCAGAAGTGTGATGGGGCGTCACCTTCCCCTGATCCCTGGATCGCCTCCCGCCCTTGAGGGCTCCCGGACTGTGAGAGGGGGCAGGCCGGGCTGAGGGACGCCCCCTCCAGTGCATGAATTTTCATGCACCAGGCCTCTAGTTAGTAAATAAATATACAATGCAAACATTTAATGAGCAGAAAAGATAGCACATAAGCAAACACTATTGGGCACAATCCTCATCAACCATATAGCAGCCTGTGTGTTAAGATCTACATAAAACTCCTTTTTAACCTCACTATAATCCTCCCTAAATCCCTTCCCTGGTTCTGTCATCATCAGATAAAAGACCACGTTCCAACATCTCTGTCCCTTTCTGCCCTGAACTTTTTTACTTTTCAAAAACCACCTCCAAGTAGTCATTGGCCTCTTCTCCATTAGTCGCTCCACCCCCACATTTCCACCTACTCCTAAAATTCCCACACCACTTTGTCAGTCCGAATGTTACTCATTCTTCATGGTACTCCCGGAAAGGTATCCCTGATACTGTTCTCCACCCTCCACATCTGCAGTCTCTCGCGATGAGGGGAGCCACTTAGGGTGCTCTATCTAAACTCACACTGCTTATCACCTTGTATTCAAAGTATCTTTTCTCTCTCTCTCTCTCTTCCCCTTCCTCCCTCCCTCCTAAACTGGCTAAGTTCTAGAGAGAAGAAACATCATTGTTTCCAAGGTCAGTAAAAATCCTGAACACTTATTATTCTGTATAAGAACCAGTAACTTAATTAACGTTATACAATCAGATCTTGTACCTCTGCAAGCTTTCTTGATACAACTAGTTTAATTAATAGACTTTAAGCAGTTTTAGGTTTACAGAAAAGCAGTGCAATTATTTATTTTAATCTCAAAATCCAAAACAACTCTTCAGCTCCAAAGAAGGAAGGAGAGAAAAGAAAAGAAAAGAAAAGAAAAGAAAAGAAAAGAAAAGAAAAGAAAAGAGAAGGGAAGAAAAGACAAGACAAGACAACTTCCCAGGTGATGCTGTAAACTCGTACTGGCAAATCCCCACATCTAATCTCCAGGACAAGAGCCCACCACCGCCCATGACACATTTCCCGACCGCCGGCCTGGTCATCAGCCGGAGGCACCACCCGCGGTCTGTGACCTACACTCCAGAGCGGCGGGTGCCTCCCTCTCTACTAAACTTCCGTAATGGGCATCACCCTGCTCGCCCCCAGGACGGCGTGGGAGCAGGGACTCAACCGCCGGGCCAAGTCAGGACCAGTCTTCAAGGCTCCGCGCCACCGGCGTCAGCGCCCTCCCGGCCCCGGGACGTGTCCCTCCCCACGAACGACGCGGGTCCGGGAAGCCCGGCTCCCTGCCAAGGCCAGCCTGCGAGGTGGGGCCGCGCTCTCAATCCAGAAAAGTGCCCGAGGGCCCCAGGACAGGACCCGGCGGGCCGCCACGACAGGTGTCCCCCTGGACTCCGCGGACCGGACAGTGAGGAGGGCGCCGGCCAGAGGGAAGCCGTCCCGCCGGGGGATGGCCGGTGGCAGCAGGCGGCCAGGAAATAAGCGTCTGCCCGGCGGAGCTGAGCTGGGCTGGGCCGTGGAGAACTTGGCGACCGGAGCCTGACACGGGCAGACCGAGCACCGAGAGGATTCAGGGGGACGGCCAGGGCCGCGCTGCCGGCGCCCGCGTTGGGACGGAGGAGGACAGGAGGCTCCGAACCGGCCCCGGCCGAGGGGACCGCACAGACCAACGACCCAGCAGCTCCAGCCCGGACGGCGCGCCACCCCGCTGCCCGGAGCGGAGAGCAGCGCTGTCCTCGGCCGCCTCCCGTCAGCTCCGTACCTCGTTGGCGGATCCACCGGCGTCGAGACCGCCGCTCGCCCCGCGTCGCTCGAGTGGGTCCCGGCCCCGCCAGTCCACAACCCGCCCTCACACCGGCCCACCCTCCCTCAGGCCCCGCCCCCGGCGCCGCGAGCGCGCGTCACGCACGCACAGACGTCACTTCCGGGGCCCAGGACTCGAGGTGGGAGGATGCTCCTGCGAGTTCCCCTGGGATCTGCGCTGGGTGGGGCGAGGCCAGGTGGGGCGAGGCCAGGCCGGGCGTAAGTGACATCCTGGCTGTACCCAGCAAGCCGGGGGGCATCCAGGGGGCGGCGGCCTGGAGCGTTCGGGAGCCGGCGGAGAAGCCGGCGTTACTGTCTTTTCCTCCGTCCTTGCTTTTGGGATCCGACTCGCAATAGCGTGAGGGCGACTGACTTTTGGGTGCTGTCCGGCCCCGGGCGTGGAATAGGAGGCAGGAGAGGAGGCATTGGATCAGAAGACTGCTGCCAACCCGTAGGCTATGAGGCCGCCTGAAAAACGAATGAGCCCCATCCCTTCACGGACCTTAGGATTTTAAAAGTTTCTCAAAGAGATTGGTTGATCCAGGAGCCGTTTTTAAATACCTGAGCATAAGTGAAATTAAAAGTTAAATAAGTTATCCGGTATCACACAGTATTAACGGTCGAGTCATAGATGGATTCCAGTTCTTGTGATTCCCATTTCAGGAATGTTGTGTTACAGTTGATCTTAGCTGAAAAGGCCAGAAGCGATAGGAATGTCAAAAAAAAAAAAAAAAAATTCAAGCCGTGACAGGGTGGCTCCGTTGATTGGAGCATCCTCCCTTTCACCAAAAGATGACCGGTTCGATTTCTGGTCAGGGTACATACCTAGGTTGTGGGTTTGATAGTCAGGGAGCATATGAGAGGCAATAGATGGATGTTTCTCTCGCTCTCCCTAGAAATCAATGAAAGCATACCCTGGGGTGAGGGTTAAAAAAAATTCTGGAGATCTACTTGGCTTTATTGTCATTCATGAATAGGGCAGCATCCCATCTAGTGACTAGAAGGGCGCTTTGAGGGGTTGTAGAAAATGAAAGGATTTTATAAGAAGGGTGGAGCAAGGGAGCTATTAACAAAAGAAAGGATTATTTTTGCACCTGGACATCTTTTCTTTGGGGGAAGAGAATGGGAAGGGTTTTTGTTTGTTTTATTTTTAAATATATTTTTATTGATATCAGAGACGGAGAGATAGAAACATCAATGATGGGAGAGAGTCATTGATTGGCTGCCTCCTGCACACTCCCTACTGGGGATTGAGCCTGCAACCCCAGCATGTGCCCTTCTCCAGAATCTTACCCGGGACCCTTCAGTGTGCAGGCCAACGCTCTATGCACTGAGCCAAACCAGCTAGGGCAGGAAGAGTTTTTATCTTTAAGATTGCTTCTTCTTTCTATGAGGGATGGAGAGATTGATTACCTTGTGACAGATTACCTTACTGGTGCTTGACCAGGAAATTCCAGACTGGTTATTAAGATTATGTTTCTGGGAGAGGTTGAAACTGCAATTACATTATGGGCTTTCAGCACAAGTGACGTTATATTGGGTCTGGTTTTCTCTTTAACAGTTGGAAACAGCAGCTGCCTCTATCCTGTGTTACATGAACTCAGAGTCTGGAGGCTTTGCCTAGAAATAAATATTTATTCAAGGGTCTTAGGGCTTGCAAATGGAAAACACAGGAAGGCAATACCCAGTGTTTTGCAGAGGAAAGAAAAACTAAGAGTTCTTGTAACAAAAAGTACATTAATGAGAAGTGTTGTAGGCAGCTAGACAGACATGAGCAGAGCAAGCATGATGGGCCAGGTACAGAAGGTCACCAGGTGGAAAGTCCCAGGTGCCCAACAGAAGGACAATCGTAGGGTGGGCCCTGGTCCCCAGGGTGACTTTTCCTCCCCTAGCATATTGCAGGTCACGAGGTTTGGACCCCTTGACCTTTCCTCCCTAGAGATAACATCTAGACCTCAAGTTGTATTTTAGCTCCAGACCCAGATAAGCAACAAAACTAGCCATGGCTGACGTCAGGACCAGCTGCAGGGAATAATGACCTCCTACCCTGGTGCCTACCAATCAATCAGGGAGACCACAACCCTGAAAGGACATACCTGGAAAACGGCTGAATATTCTATGAGATCTTCCCCTGGGACCTCCCCTAAAATCTCCACTCAAAAAAACCCACAGGACAGAAGACCCAGTGCACTCTCTCCCCCTCCCGGGAGCACGCTTATGCCTTCCCCTTTCTCCACTTCCCCCTCCCTCCCCTCCAGGCCCCAGGCACGTTACCAATTGCTTCCTCACTCCCAAGCTCCTAGGGCCCTTTACCTCCAGAAGTTTGCTAAGCCCATTTTTTCTAGGAATTACTTTTTCCACCTCTGTAATTTACCCTATAAATGTTCTCTTACAGTTTGGGTCTTGCTCTGAATTCTTTCCTAGCCAGAACCCAAGTACTGAGGTTGTTGAACCCTGGTTTGGTCTGACCCCACCAGTCAGACAATTGTTGCCATTCCTGCCCCCACCTACAACAGAAGCATTCTTAGCCTCTGGATTGGTCTGAAACGGAAATCCTCTAGATGACAGGTAGTCTGGATACCTGAATATTATTTCCTTATTCCGGGGGTAATCAGGTTTATCTCAAAGTTTGATGTATATCGAGGCATTGATTGGAAAGCTCAAAAGTTAAAGTTCCCAGGCTAGTTATGATGTGGGGGGGGAACCAAACCAGGTCTTTATCACAGAACAAGGGGGAATTCAAGAGCATGAAAGATTTAGCAACGCACGGTAAATTAATTAAAGCCATAGTATGCACCCAAGAAATGAGAGTGGGTGACCTCGGAGAATGAGGTGCTGATGGGGTCTAGGTGGAAGGTTTTTATTAAATGTGGTTAAGAGGGGTAGCAGTGTGGCCCAGCCTGCATGGCTCACTGGATGAGCGTTTACCTTTGAGCCAGGAGGTCATGGTTCAATTCTCTCTCTCCTCTCTCCCTAAAATATCAATTAAAAAACTTTTTTAAAAGAAATGTTTGGTAGTTTTTAGTGTACAAATATTTCATCTTATATTAGTTCCTAAGTATTCTTTTTAATGCTATTGTAAGTGGAATTATTTTTTAAGTTTCCTTTTCAGATTGTTCATTGTTCATGTATAGAAACGCAACTAATTTTTGTGTGTTGCTTCATATCTTGCTACTTTGCTGCATTTATTAGTTCTAACAGGTTATTTTGTATATGTAGAATCCTAGGGTTTTCTACATATATCATATTATCTTCAAAGAGAGATAATTTCATTCCTTTCTAATTTGGATGCCTTTTATTTTTATTTTTTTTTCTTGCTTGGTTGCTCTGGCTAGGACTTCCAGTACTGTGTTGAATAGAATTGGCATAAATGGGCATCCTTGTCTTGTTCCTGATCATAATGGAAAAGCTTTCAATCTTTCACCACTGAGTATAATGTTAGCTGTGGGTTTTTCATATGTTTTTCTTATATTGAGATTGTTTCCCTCTGTTCCTAGTTTGTTGAGTGTTTTTACCATGAAAGGGCATTAAATTGTGTCACAATTTTTTTTTCTGTATTAACTGAAGAGATCAGGTAGTTTCCCCCCTTTATTTTTCTAATATAGTGCATAACATTGATACATTTTCATATGTTGAGCCATCCTTGTATTCCAGGAATATTCCCATATGGCCACAGTATATAATCCTTTTAATATGTTGCTAAATTCAGTATAGTATTTTGTTCAGTTTTTTTCTGGCATAGTTCATGCGGAATATTGGTCTGTAACTTTGTTTTCTTGTAGGTCTTTGCTTGGCTCAGTTATCAGGGAAATGCTGACCTCATAGAATGAGTTAGAAAGCATTCCTTCCACTTAAAAATACATATATGTGTGTGTGTATATATAACATATATATGTGTGTATATATATTACATTTTTAAAATTGATTTCAGAGAGGAAGGGAGAGGGCAACAGAGATAGAAACATCAATGATGAGAGAGAATCATTGGTCGGCTGCCTCCTGCCCCCTCCTACTGGGGATGGAGCCTGAAATCCAGGCATGTGTCCTGACCAGGAACTGAACCGTGACCTCCTGGTTCATAGGTCGATGCTCAACCATTGATCCACACCAGCCAGGGTCCACTTTTAATTTTTTGGAAGAGTTTGAGAAGGATTGGTATTAGCTCTTCTTTAAGTGTTTGGTAGAATTCACCAGGAAAGCCATCAAGAAAAGGGGTTTCTCTGTTGGGAAGTTTTTGTGTGTTTTTTTAATCCTCACCCGAGGATATTTTTTCCTTTGATTTCTAGAGAGAGCGGAAGGGAGGGAGGAGGAGGAGGAAGAGAGAGAGAAACATCAGTTTGTGAGAGACACATTGGTTGGTTGCCTCCTGCACTGGTCCCTACTGGAGCTGGGGAGCCTGCAACAGAGGTAAGTACCCTTGACGGAGAATTGAACCCAAGACGCTTTGATCTGCGGACCAACATTCTAACTACTTAGCAACTCCAGCCAGGCTGTTGGGAGATTTTTGATTACTGATTCAATATTCTTATTTGTTATAGATCTACTCAGCTTTTCTATTTCTTTGTGATTCAGACTTGGTAGGTTATGTTTCTAGGATTTAGTTCATTTAATTTGGTTATTCAACTTATTGGTGTACATATATGTTTATAGTATTCTTATAATCCTTTTCATTAATGTAAAGTCAGTAGTAATGTCCCTCTTTCATTTCCGATTTTAACTATTTGAATTTTCTCATTTTGCTCAATCAGTCTAACTCTAAAGATTTATCAATTCTGCTGATGTTTTTAAAAACCAAGTTTTGGTTTTGCTGATTTTCTAGTATCTTGTTTCCCTGTTCTCATTTCATTTATCTCCACTCTAATCTTTATTTCCTACCTTATGCTAGCTTTGCCATGGAGACGTAGAGATGAGGGACAGATGCTGCCTAGGTTTGTGCCACCTTGTGACCTCTACCAAGGCATTGAAGAGTACCTT